ACCAGAGCCTCCGACTAGGATATTGTCCACAACACTTCAGAAAGTCCACCACGGTGGTGCTCAGGAAGCCAGGCAAAGACAACTACACAGTGCCCAAAGCATACAGGCCGATAGCCCTCCTCAACACGGTGGGCAAGATCATGGATGCCATCATAGCGAGGAGACTAAGCTACCTTGCCGAAACACACGGATTGCTGCCAGATAGCCACATGGGCGGGAGAAGACGTCGGTCGACGGAACACGCACTGCACCAAATCGTGGATAGGATATACGAAGCCTGGGGTTCAGGACAGGGAATGGTAGCAAGCCTACTTCTCCTGGATGTGTCAGGCGCCTTCGATAACGTTTCGCACCGCCGACTCCTGCACAACCTGCGGAAGAGGCGGATCGACGAAACGACGGTGCGTTGGGTTGCCAGTTTCCTCGGATGCCGAGAGACGGAGATCCACGTGGATGGATTCCGATCCGAAACCTACAGGCTCGACACCGGCATCCCACAAGGGTCGCCCCTTTCGCCGATACTCTACCTCATCTACAACGCGGATCTCTTGGATAGCTGCAATGAGACCGGAGACACGACAGCCACCGGCTTCATCGACGACGTAGCGATCCTTGCCGTGGGAGACAGCACGGAGGAAACCTGCCAGAAGCTTCAAGAAGCGCTTCGGAAAGCCGAGACGTGGGCTCTCACTCACGCGTCCGTCTTCGCGCCCGAAAAGTTCCAGCTTACCCACTTCACACGAGCAAAAACCAGAATCGACACAGACAAAACACTCCACAGCCAGTGGGGAGAAATCAAGCCCAAGACAACCTGTAAATACCTCGGTCTCATCATGGACTCAGCCCTCAAGTGGAAACAACACATCGACGAGACAGAACGCAAGGTCACCAACACCGTCACAGCACTCAGCAGTCTAGGCAGTTCCACGTGGGGCGTGATGACGAGAGAAATGAGGACGATTTATAGGGGAGTGGCAATACCACAGATGATGTACGCATGCTCGCTGTGGTCCAACAGCGGTTGGGGACAGATGGGTTACACGAAGAGAACATTAAACAGACTGCAGAGGCTCCAAGCCAGAGCAGCCAGGGCAATGTGCGGAGCATACAGAGCAACCTCGTTCCCAGCACTAGATGTGGAAATGCACCTCCTGCCAGTCGAACAACAGATATGGAAACACAACATCGACACCATCAGCAGAGTAGGCATGGCCGAAGTCACCGCACGTAGAGGAAAGAAAATTAGCCCAAGACAGACGATAACAAACCGAATACGCGATGGACAAGATGTTAGCAACGAACAACACGAACACGAGCACATACCGCCCTTCATCACTCCCCCGTGGTGGCAGGGACCGCGTGTCCACATCGCCGGAGGCACGGAGCAGGCCGAAAAAGAACACGAACGCTGTCTGGAAAACAACACCGACGCAGCCCACATCTATACAGACGGCAGCGGCATCGACGGTCAGATCGGAGCGGCAGCAGTCTGCACAACCACACAGCAAACTAGGAAATCTCACATGGGGGACGACACGACGTCCACTGTCTACGCGGGAGAGCTGCAGGGCATTGTCCTGGCCCTGGAGATGGCGCAGGCAGACAAGGAAAACGGAAACGACCGAAGCAAAGTCTTCATACACACCGACAACCAGGCCGCCATCAGATCGTCAGCCAACCCAAAGGGGAAGTCCGGCGCGTACCTTCTCAAGGCCATCGCAGAAAAGACACAAGCCCTCCGAGAACAGGGACTCGAAGTCGAGCTCCGATGGGTACCTGCCCACATCGGTATCCAGGGCAACGAAGCAGCAGACATCGCCGCCAAGGAGGCGACGGGATGGAGGCCAGACGGACAGACAGGTCCCAGGGCAGACAAGCCGAGAGCCTTGTTCAAACTCAGGTCGACAGTCAAGACATGGTCGCACAAACAAACCCACCACGTGTGGCAAACCAACTGGGAAACCGAGACGCGAGGGAGAACATCGTTCCGTCTCACGCCGAAGCCGACAAAGAAGGTCCTCGGCCTCCACGAAGGCCTCAGTAAACGCCAGAGCGCACTCCTGGTCCAGATGCGCACGGAAAAGATCGGGCTCCAGGACTTCCTCTTCAACCGAAGAGTACCGGGCATCACCAACGCCAACTGCCCATGCCGGGAGGGACGACAAACGGTGTCGCACATCCTGCTGCGATGCCGCAGGTTTCGACAACTCCGGCGCCAGGCATTCGGAACCCTCCCAGGACGACACAATCTCCGGGTCATACTGAACAAGCGCAAAGCAGCCGCCAGGGCAATCCGATTCATAGAACAGACCGAGATCCTTGGGCAACACGGGATCGAGTCGCACACCAGACTAAGCTGAGCATTGGGGGGAGACTGTAGGTACGTTGAACCGTTGTACGAGGAGAAAGACCTCAATAGAGCCTAGACACACGTGTACATTAGTAGAGAACCGCAAACTACACTTGGTGGCCGCCAGGGGTAGATGAGGTTGGAGAGCAAAGTGGGAGATTTGGAGACGGCTGGTCGGTGTTTTGCACTGGCGAAGTGGGGCGCTACGGATTAACGTCCGGAGCGCGTCGGCTGTTGGCCAAACCCCGCTATCCGGGCATAGCTGCTGACTAAAGCGGCCAAAACCGAGTAGGAATCAATCAAATCAAATCATATATGGTGTACCGTAGCCGCCGCAGCCCAGCTGGGCAGGCCCTGAATTTGGTCATGCATGTTGGGTCGTAACAAAGGGCTAATCTATAGCCTCCTATTAGCTAATATATAAGATATTAAGTTATTTAACAATTCTATAGGGTGTCGACTTACTCGATTGGGAAGTGGTGATGGCATCCCTTTGCTTGTTGGACTCGAATACTCTGTTGATTAACTTGCACTTGTGGGGGCGCTGGTAAGGATATACTACTTTAGAAGCCAAACCGCCTCCGCGTTTTTCTTCACGACCACATATAGGATGTGGTTTAGAGCAAAGCTATTCTAACAGGAAGGAAGATCAACTTAAATATCTAGCAATAGGAGAAAAATGATGATAGTATCGCTATCTATCATATACTCGAGCGGCTCTATAACCGTAAGGAGAAGTCCAGAGGCTGGGAGACCTATACGATATATGCGGGCAATGCCGATTTCGGTTTGTACCGAAAACCAGCGAATCCCTGGAGGGGTCAGGACCACCTGGTGGCAATAGATTGTAGCCAGTACTTCTATAAAGGCGAGGCAAAGGAATGGGTCTTCTCCAAGTATAGCGAGAATGGTTTCTTTAAGGGGTAGTCCGAAAGCTTTTCTTAGCCCTAGTAATTCTTTATTTCGTCTTAGTACGACGTTATTTTGCTGTTTGGAAAATGCCCTAAAGTACGGCTACGACATTCAAGCCTGCTATGAAGATAAACACGTTGAAAACTTCTAGATAGCGTTAAACGGGCAATGTTAGCCAAATAAGGCCAGTGGCGCCATTCACGGAAAGGAGCGACCGAACGAGGAGACGTTGAGCTTGAGCTATCGGCCGTCTTATTCAAGGACTCCAGCTGTTTGTAACTCCATTACGTCTTGTTCAACCCCGCTTACTTGATGTATTTAGTACGTAACAAGGTCTACGAGCGATCTAATAAGACGCCTTGCCGAAGAACCGAAAGATCTGAGCGAAAATCACATTTCCCGATACTGTGTTAATGCGTCAACTCGGCTGCCTAGTTGATATGAAATGCAACGGTAGGCGATAAAGAGCGAAGCGATAAGCAACAGATCGGGTTAACATATGCCTTGAAGCAGAGCAGGCCCCGAAGGTGTGTACATCTAAACAGCCCTGACTAGAGTATAACTAGAGGCCCTGGATCGATTGACTGCATCTATAGAAGTATAGCCTATTTAAATAGATGTTATTGGAATACAAGGCTACGCTTAGAAGAGGTCGCTTAGCTATGAGGATGAGTAAAAGCTTAGTAGAGCCCTTGTTTTCATAAGGCCACGCGTAGTAGTGAGCTGTCTTGAAAATACCTACGTTTTGAAGCAGTAAAATCAGCTTGAACCTACCCGATGCTAACGTCGCGATGAAATTGCTCTCTTTAATGTTTTAGACTGCTAGATTTCTTAAGAAAAGGGATTGACTTCAAGACGGACGGGCAAAAAGCCAGAACTAGTAAGCCGCTTACGCTTAGCCACCCTTTGTGCCTGTTTCTGCTTAAAAAGGCGCGCATGTTTACCATTCTCGTCATTCACATACTTCGCTACTTGTTCTGGCGCAGTATCAACTAAAATTATATCCATTTCTGCCTCTCTGCCTCCCTCCTTGAATCGTCGAGACAAATTATATTCCTTACTAAAACTACCACAAGCACCTCCGTCAGCCTAAACCAGAAAGCAGCATGTGCGGTTATCTTAGGTATACGATAGTAACAGTATTTTGTATTGTACTATACGGTATCGCCACTAAGTCTTTCAGGTGCGGCCAGATCACCCGCCGCCTTAAGGACGGTATGATCGGGGTGAGTAGGGTGAGCATGGCTGGGTAGTAAGCCGATGTTAGTGTTAGGTTGCACGTCCTCTATTTCTTCGCTCATAGGAGAGACGAGTAGCCAATGAACATCATTCACCAAGGAACAAGAAGTTCACATTCAGTCTCACTTGCATGATGTACCGGAGTATTCACAGCATCGGTCAGAGGCCTACACTACAGAATAAGGTAAATAACAAAACAGTCGTCACAGGAAGCCGTACAGACACGTGCAGCCAATTATAGCGTGTGCAGAGGGAGGTACCTTATGCTTGCGACCTGGAGCCCTGGCCGCTCTACTCGTATGATCTCACATCCCCGCACTCATCAACCCCTGTCATGTTGGTCTCGCTACTTTCCACCCTTTCCATCCTCTCCATCCTCTCCATCCTTTCCACCCTTTCCATCCTTTCTACCCTTTCCATCCTTTCCATCCCTTCCATCCTTTCCATCCCTTCCGTCCTACACTTACCTCAATCGCCATAGTTTCCGACATACTACGAAATGCATAAGCATGTGGCTCCTATTGCATCTTTTCTAGAGGACTTCAAACAGAACAAGGTTACCAGACGTGATATCATACGCAGGCTTTCACAAAACATAGATCTAGTTGATAGCGTACCGTTATCGAAGGCAACAGCACCCACTCAAAGTCGATACACAGTTGCTCGGAGGCATCTCCAGGACATAAAGGATGACCTTGGCCAGCCATTATACTACCTCTGCATCATTGCCTCCTCTGTGACAGCACTCCACCAGTACAGTCGGTCTGGCTTCCAAGGTGCCCTGGAGGCATGGGCTAAGGAGGCGGACATTCCGCTAAATTTTCTTGGAAGCGCACGACAGGCGGTCGAAGAATATGTGGCGAACTACACTCCGAGTACTATCGCACCTCATCCGAAGCGTCCTCGAGAAACAAGTGAAGGCAGGCAGCAATCTTCGAACGAAGCAGACCAAGGGACGCGGAAGAAATCAAGGTTCGATGAAGAGGAGAAATCCTTGGAACGCCAAGAGGAGTCTCCATCACCCCAATACATCGCTCAACAGAACCACGATACATCGGGCAATTACGAACATTACTTTACGACCGCCCAGAATGATGCGCCCCAGTACCTGTCCAACCAACCCCAAGGTAGCACGACCACCATCCCTACAGAACTCCCGCCGAATCCGATTATTGGAAACGTCATCGAGAGTGAAGCCTATCACGCCACCGCAACTGAAGACGAGAATGTTGGCGATGAGGACGTAATACCCTCCCATATATTGAATGATTACCGCCCTTACGTAGTAGTGCAAGCTGATGGTATCCCTTCCGACTGCTCGTCTCCAAGTTCACTCTGACATTTGCTAGGTACTATTCTGAGTCAGGCGTACCAAGTATCTAGACTAGACGCGATGCGGGTGCTCTTAGAGCAAGATGATATGGAAGACGAAATTCGCGTCACGATACCCACTGTGGAGGGAGCTCGCCCGTTTTTGACCTTTCACTGCTCCCCCGAAACAGCTCTGCGTTTGACTGCCAGAAACAAACATTTCATACAGAAGTTGATTCGCTAGGCAATAGCTTTACTTCCCCAACTTGGCAGGAGCCATAGCATTTCAAAAATTGACCAGCCTTCCATGGTATTATGACAGTATGCTCTTCCCTGTCGCTGCCAACTGACTCCACAAACTTGGACTCTGCGAGCTCGTGGATGTATACGATCGTAGGGTCAGAGCTGTGGAAGTTCACGGCTAGAAACTGTGTATCGGAGTCGGGGGTATATACAGCGAGATCTTCGACGGGGAGCCATTCAAAGCTTGAACATCGCCGCTGAGCCTGTGGGGGGATATTTCAGCAGTCGCGCCTTACATGTAAAAGAGCGACTTACCTCTTTCTCGCACCTCTTTCTAACTTTTTCAGGTGATGAAGTCTTTGTCCTAATCTTTTTCATTCCATCAAACGTGGGGCTGAGGTAACAAGTCTTCGAGGTTCGCACGCTTGCTCTGGTGTAGCGGTTTCAAAGTTGGAGATGTCCTATAGATTTTGGAATGAATTAGAAGAGGTCAGGAACGTCAAGTCAGGTCCAGAATTTGGGGGCATTAACTCGCGTTGTAGTCGAAGGAGTTTGCGCATGTGGTTTGCCCCGCCATTGATGCCCAAGTTGTCAGACTTGATGGCGAACAGTCACCTGTTGTGGGGAAAAACATACGGCCCGAAATCTCAAGGAGTCCATCGGATTCCTTCCACTGGAGGTAAAAACCTCGGTTAAAAAGCAGCTAGACCCTAGCATTCTCCACCTTTGGCTATTCCACCCGTTCCACCCATTCCACTCATTCCACCCATTCCACCCATTCCGCCGACCTCCTTCACCCATTTCGCCCATTTCGCCCATTTTCATGGATGGATGGATGGATGGATGGACACATAGGTGGAAAGTTAAGATCTATTAATTATCCTCTGGACGCGACTTGGGAGCTTCAACCACACTGCACATCGATATGTCGTATGAAGCTAATGCGATGAAGCTAATGCGATGAAGCTTGTTTCCTGCGTAATTTTCCCCCCGACATACCTAAGACATGGAGACATCGAGGCCCTCGACAGTTTTTCATTGGCATAACATCAGATGCGAGTTCGCCATTTCCGGAGTAGAAGCAGCAGCCTGTCTGCGAGAGGGGCTTAATGTCTCAATCAATGTATCCACTCCTTTATTTCAAGGTAATCCCGATGAGGCTGAGGTGCTCGGGAAATACATGGCACAGTACCCAGCTTTCAAACGATGGCTGGCCATGGCGATCCCTCTGTAAAGACCCAAGGTGGTAAGGCTTTACTGGACTTTTTCCTCTCACAATAGCCAACTTCCGACTGCTTCGCCACCTTCAACGTTGCCCAGCTTCGCTGGGCAGCTTTGTATTATGAAGTCAAGGTGAGCTACGCGAGAAATCTGCAGTCCTCATAATACTGAAGCAACATGGAGATCTGGCTACCAACATAATTTTCTAGAAAAACTCGCCTTCTTCGCATTCTTATCCGGCTGCAGCGTATATGACCTGGCCGACTGTACCTACGACAGGTTGCTTAGAACGATCGAACATAACATCGATACGCCAGTCGATGCCAGCGATGGATTGGATTGGTTCTTTCGCATACTAAGATTGTCCGGCTTTCCCACATCAACTAGCGCTAGTTTCGCGAGCATTGTTTGCCTAGCTGCGGATCCCCTGGGATCACGCTACAAAGTCATGCCTTTTCGAACTATGACGGTCTCGCTGTCGACGTCGCTGCCATGGCCCGGAGCGAAGGATTCGCTGGTTAGCCTTCAGCGGATTGGCTTATTACCAAGCATAGTTCTTGTAAGCGACCCTTTTATTACATTGGAATCCCCGACTGAACATCACAAAGCACTCTACACGCACCCAACTACTTATTCACCGGACTCCAGCCCAGGCCAATATCTTTTGTGGATTCTTGAGGGAATCTTACCAGCTTTGGATGCCGGCACAACCATGTTCTCTGCATGATCACCAGATTCTGCTCGTTTGGCTTGCGACATGTTCTTTCCCTATCCAATCGATACATGACTGGCTGAAATCTCCGCGTGGACGAGAGATGTTGTCAACTGTTGGTATCCCTATCACAGGGAAGTCGGTTCGAACCGTGGGTTGACGAAGAGGTCAATTGATATGTATTAACTTCTGCGTAGTATGTAAAAGGGAGGTTCCAACCGTAGGTAGGGCAGACCGCGGTTCTCGTAAGTACGGTCTGTAAGTGGCCCCTGCGTGGGCCCCTTGCCTCGAGGCCGAATTGGACTTCCAATCCGACATCAACTTTCCAACAGCAATTCAAAGTCGGGCAAACCCCGCCGCAACTTGCTTGCTCTTTACTTGCTTTGCTTGCTTTCCTTGCCTACCAGAAGCTTATTAAGTCACCGAGAGTCGTGTCCCTGAACCCCAGCACTAGTCCACTTCTGTGGTTCTCCATCTTTCTTAACAATCATGATTATCATGATTTACCACATACCACCGACCGAACAATTGAGTTCATTCGGTCGTTGCAAAAGGCGATGAGACACCAGGTATACAGTTGGCGGGAGCACCTGGATTGTATCGTTGATAGGATCGTACCACAGTCTTCTAAATCAGACAGTGTCTTGGAGCGTTACTTTATTCTCCGGGGCCTGAAGGAGAAGGAGCACGGGGTGGGCCACCAGAAAGCCCTCGACGGGGTACTGCAAGCTGATTATGGGATAGAATAAATCACTTACTGACTCTCTTCTGACTTCTGCAAAGTATCTAACAACTGCTACGGCCTGACCTCCCGAGGTAGACCTGTGAAATCTGGATCTGGCCTGAAACCTCAATTGGGAAAGCTTTTCTTGTGCAATGATGAAAACGCCATGCCCATGCCTATCAACGCCCCACGCCGATTGACCCTAGTCACCCTCTTTTCCTCCAAGTACTCCATTTTGCCGCCACAAGACCAGAGAGAAGAGCTGGTAGTCTATTATATGCTTAGCGCCAATGTACCAACTAAATCGTCCATGTGCATGTGAAATGCGCTTCTCTTTCGAGAGCACCGTTGCACTATTGTCGAGAGCTCAAGATTCTATCGTGGAGGGCACTTACCTTTCAGAGACTCTTCCAAGAGTAAGTACCCCCACAATTCCACACTGCGACAAAAACACAGAGTGAATGCCCGCGGGAGTAGAGCGTTTTGTCAGAATCATACAAAGAGCCATATCCATAGCACAACATGTTTTGTCCTGGGCGGAAGAACCCGCCACGCCTTCACTTGCCTCGTCGCCGTATACGCCGGCTAGGGCCCCTCCGAGATACGGGTCGTACTACCCCGTCAATTGTTTCCTCTTGCCTTCTGCGTTTATGTTCCGGATCAACGGTCGTTCGCGTTTTCTTTCTATGGGGCCGCCGTGTCGATGTTGTCGCATTTCTAGTCATGGCGGGAGATATGGTACCGCCCAGTTGGGGAAGCATTGTGTGAATCATGCGTGGCACACGCGAAATACCTGTCCTGCTCAACATTAGCGAAGGGCGCTTCGTATCTGCTTCAAAGCTACTCGCATTTCTATGGAAGCAAGTCCACTTTGTCGCTTCGCCTGCAGTCTTAGACTCCAGCATTCACCATGTCTTCGGACGAGGCCGAGGTTCTCTTCGTGGGCAGGAAAGGCGCTCGGAGCATTTGTGGGTTGCTTCGGTGCATACCAAAGGAAATGCGGATCAGTACGATGCATTTGCTCCGATCGCGTAATGTTGAATTCTGCCTCGAAGTCCTTCACCGTATCTGCATCGGATTCCATGTTTGGCGTGTCGAGGTGTGATAATATTAGGTGGCAGAGAAAGGGATAGAGGGTGTAGCAGAGGAGGCGATCATGTTCTGCCAGGCAGGAATGTCGTTGGCGGACTAATAACGGCCCGCTTCATCTCCCTAGCGTGAATCATGTGATCGCGTTCCCGAGGGGAGAGCTCGATGACAACGATCGATTGGGGGAGCAAATCCACTCCACACAAACCCGGCGGTAATCGTTTGGCTACCATTTGCCGGCACTGAGACGTCTCGTACTGATTCTCCATTGAAATGTTGAATGTCGTACTAAAGTCGGCCACGTCCCCTCGACGTTGTCTGGGTACTGTTGATCAGAATTACAACAACCTCAGCATCTATCAATTATCGCTTCTCTACAATGCCACTGACTACACGTCGAGCTTGGGAAACCGACACTGAACTCGGTCAACTGCTTGATAATGAAGATTACTACGACCAGTGTCCTGTCCTCGTGCACATACCAGAGGCGGCAACTTTTGGGGTGGTCCAGACCAATACACCCGCCGAAAATTTATGCAGGATGAAGAGCCTCGAAATTACGACTACAGCGAGCGAGTCTGACATTGAGACGCCGCCTCCCAAATCCGTTCATAACGGTGGAATTGTGGGCTTACTGGGTGCCAGTCTCCAGTACGAGAAGAAGCGGGTCAAGTTGCCACCTTCTTTTCTCTTTGGTCGCCAGACGAAGATGAATGATATCGTCCTTGGTCCACTCTTCTCCCAAGTGAGCCGGCATCACTTTGCTCTAGGGCTCTGTAAAGGCCAGTGGGCCGTCCTTAATCTCTCTCCTAACGGGACATGGGTTAACCAGTACTTCCTATGTGGAGAGGAGAATCTGTGCGCACTGCACCCCGATCAGGGTAATGAGATACGATTTGGGGGTCTACGACTCACGATCTACTGTCGTCATCCAAGCATGGCCAAGGCTTTCGATCTTTGGCCCGCACGTTTCCTGGATACACCAGATTCGGGTGGGGGAACGCCCGCGACCAGTATCGCCAGCTCTCCCAGGTCATTTGGTGTGGACATTGACCCGCAAATTCCGCGTATATATTACCTGAAGAACAGAAGCGTCTCTTCTTATACGACTTCGAGAGTAGTAGCGGAGAGATTCCTAGCCCTCGACGCCAAAACTTGTGATGTTTATGTCGCTAAGGTCGTCGAATTCTTGGATATACGAAAAACCAAAAGAAAGCTTGAGCTTCTGCAGCCATTGCCCAAGACGCCATCTAGCAGATTCCTTCACGGTCACACTATAGTTGCAGACACAGACCGAGCATACGTCCTATCCCACTTCAGAGACGACATCCAGGAAATAGGAAAGGTGTCAGACCTAGTACACGATGTAATGACCAGGAAGCAATGCCAAGCAGTGGCGCGTCAACTCCTCCAGAACTTACTCAGGGCTGTTTCATCTCTGCACAGCTTCAAAATCTCACATGGAGACCTCGGCCTACACTCCGTATTTTCCACCTCGGTGTACGACTGCGACCAGCTGTACATCTCTGGCTTCTCTGAAGCATCCGTGCTTACGGAGGAACGGGCAAAGAAGGACTGCCTAGCCATTTTCAAAGTCGTCAGGACCTTTCTTCGCGAGGAACCCGACATTGCATGGCTTTCCAATGAACACTTGGATCCACTATGGAGGATGATGTTCAGGAACGAAAGGGCGTGGTCCACGACAGCCATTGGGCTTTGCGAGCAGATGAATCTCACACAAGAGGATGGCAGTGAGATGTGGACGCTGATGACTATATCTCGGCATGTCAATATTCGCTCTAAGACTGAAAAGAGCGAAGTGTGGCTCAAGGCCGACGATATCAGAGAATATGTATCATTGGAAGTTATGAAGAGAAAACTGGCGACCCCAGCTGCGGCTCAGAAGGATGTCGACACGGCCGTTTCAGCTCTGAAGCACTATGTTCGAGATGATTATATCTCGAGACTCGACTTCGACAGATTTTCACTACATATGGCTCGGCACCACGCGAAGTATCTTGGGGTCGAGCATCTTTTCCAGCCCGGAATCGCCAGCAGCAGCAGTCAATCACCGCCGATCCTAGTGGCCAGTGTCGGCGTCAAGCTTCCATACCATGCCCGGTACGGGCTCATCAGTCTCTCAGGCCTGATGAAGATTGCCCCGATATCCTCTCCCGACGCTATCCCGGGGGCGATCGTGGATCTTCTTACAAAGTGTTACGAAATCCGGGGTCACTGCGCAGGGACTTACGTCTCTGTCGGGGAGCTAGAGGAGCTTGCCGGTTTGCTTGGACTTGAATATCCTGATGGAGTCATTCTTGATCGATATGACAGGTCGCTCGAACATTACACACACTCAAAAGGCTGGTTCTTACTATCGCCTCATGAGTCGTCCGAACTCGTTCCGGTCACGAGGGAAACTCATTTAGTCTCAGGTAGGTCGTCACTTGGGTCGTACTTGAAGGAGCACATGTCTCATACACCGCTGGATGCAATGGTGGAACAAAGTCCACAAGATCTTATTGCCCATCAAGGCTACTCAAATGCCGTGCATTCATGTACAATTTCTTCTTCGGATGATTCGGTAGCATTCGCATTTTCCAACTCAAAACGTAAGGTAGAATCTACGAGGACCGAGGACTGGGTGCTCTGTACAGTCGGGAAGCGGAAAAGAAGTCGGGCAAGACAGGCAGACATGATCAGGACTGAGTTTGTAAAATCTTCAAGGCACAACTAAATGAGAGACGAGAACTTGGACATTATAGCTGAGCCTAACATAAAACCACTGTGCTTTTATTGCCGCCTAGCAGCCAGCAAAATCCAATGATAAGTGCTTGGCCGTGAGGATTTACTCCAAGATCCATTGGTTGTCTTGTGAAATGTTTGACGAATTGATAAATATAGGGTGTGATATTTTGACGATCATTCCAATAAGCTTGGCGCTCCTGAGCACAGCAAGGCCTCTTATGGCTTTCAGGGCGATCACTGGAGCTTTGAGGCCCCGGATCCAGAGAAGTACGGCGAGTACTCATGGGCAAGAGTGGAAGGCAAACCAAGAGTAAAGGGATTGACCATGGTTTCCTTCGCGGCAGATCCTCCTGGAGAGGGCCGGCCCAGACGCTATTACGCCTTCAAGGACTGCGATGTGCCCTTAGACCAGTTTGTGCTCCAGAGACTGAAAATGGGCACCCGTCAGCAGATCGAGAATTACCCCGGAATGGTGCTACCAATGGGTGCTGGCTACACTTTGAACCATGCTGGAGAGGTTCAAAAAAACATTTTCAGATGGGCGTGTTTCAATGAGAACTTCACCAGCGTTGGGCCGAACGCAAACCTTGGGGATGCAAGGACCAGCATGTCGAAGGAGACGTGGTTCACCTTCACAGATTGCCGGTACAGATACAAGGGCGGCACCTGGGGTGTTTTCAGAGGCGTATGGGCTAGAGCTGGCCAGTCCGATCCTCGCGAGCCCAGATCGAAGCGCACTCGTGAGAAGTTGCAGGATGTCGGCGGTCGCCTGCAAGGTAGAGCACCTCTATGGCTATGGGACGAGGCTCATAGCTCGAAGATGCCTGTTCTTGGAAGAGGATTGAGCATCTCGCCCCCTGCATCACCACCCACAGCGAGAGGTAGCGGTCGGCTGCGTCGACATGATCATGAGGGGCTCAAAGAGTACCAATACTACTCTTACGCCAAACCACGCAAGCCGTCCTTGCCTATACATCGCAAATCGAACCTCGACCAGCGTCCATCAATTCCATACCGATCCAATCGGCGCCGTAGGAACTATGTTGAGGACGACGAGTCTGAGGAGCTGCGGCCTGAGCTGAATTCTGCTGCATGTTCCGACTTCGCGTCGACATCGGAGTATATGACTGATTATCAGTCCTATGGTTCGGATTCCGTGGTCACATCTGGGGACGAAAGACTTCGTTCTATTTCCAGATCAGGAGTAGAGAAAGAAAAGTCAAGAAGACACGATCCACCCTTGGAAAGGGATTCTTCGAGCAGGCTCGAGTATCGAACGCCGAGAGCGTAGTGTGAATTTTGAACGGCGCGGCTCGGCCGGATCGGTCAGAACTCCTGATTATCAAAGAGGCGCGGAAAGGGGAGGTTCGACCTGGAGCAAGGATCGTCAACACAGGCGTACGTCAGAGGCCCAAGGAAGAGACGGAGATACAGGCGGCTCAGCAAAAACTAAGGGTTATCGCCATGCTCCGAAGTCCCGAAGAGTCGGAAGGGAATATTCTCGCAGGAGCCCGCATGATAGATGGTTAGTGAGTGACTCAACGAACTCAGTTATCGGAAGGGCAAGACTCAGATGCTTAGATCCCCAGGCGGGACGTAAATTTCGATTGGGTTCAAGTTTGGTTGATTTGTGTCATGTTCATGTTCGGTGCCGTTTTTAGGTTGCTATAGAATATAGAGTTGATTTCTAGTTTGAATTGATCTACATACAAGCATTCCTCTATCGTGTTCAGTCTGACTCGGGATCGTGAGTGCAGAAAGGTGTAATTTCAAGGCGTATGAGCCGTACCAACGGCTCTTTCAGAAAAACTTCCGCGAAGTACCTGCTGGTGTCTTCAGGAAGGAAATGGAAGGCTACTTTCGTTCAATATTCCAACGATGCCATAGCTCATATGCTCAGTTCAAGGTGAAATCATTGATATTAACTGATTAGAACTTCGTACATAATCAGTCACATGTGCCCGATGCCTTGATATTATGATCCCTTTCACAGCCTCCCGCCTTTTCAGGACCTTAAACCCTTGGACCAGACGCTCAAGTCTCTTTTCCGCAAGATCAGCACACTTTTTACTAACATGAAGCTCCTCACGCAGCTCTTCATTCTCCTGCTGAATATCGCATGGCAATGGCGCCTTGTGTCTCAGAACTGAGATTTGCGACCGTGCAACCGCCCGGAATGAGATGCTGTGGGACTGTGGATACCTGAGGCAGTGGCTGGTACCTGCGGCACCAGCTACCTGATCCACCTCCTGGCTGATCCAGCCCACTGCAGCCACCTTCACCACAACAACATCACCAACCAACAGTCAATACATGCTGTATTGCAACCCTCGCTTGCCTCGTTGGTCCAGATGGACAGTGTGTACTGCCCACAGATGCCGACCTCACGGCAGAGTTCCATGAGCGACCCGATCGATTGTTTGCTAAGGTGTTTACCGAACAGGTGCTTTTGATTAGCCGCGACGTCCCATATATACTGATCGTCGTCTTTTGGCAACAGACGGACTTGGTCAGGAAGTAATGATAGCCCAAGTTTATCATCTTAATAGTTAGACGACCTTCCTATGAGGCATCATAGATGTAGGACTTACTAATATGTCGGCACAGCTTTTCGCGACACTGGGTTCTCCATCTCGCACGATCTGAGTTACTTTGACGCGGCATACTTTAATTGGCTGAGCTAATGTGCCACATGGTGACATGGAGCCTCCGCCCACAACCCCATATGCAAACCCGTGGTGAGTTGATGGACTCTAGTTGTGAACAAACCATCTATGTCTAAGCCGCCGTTGTGCTCGCCGAAAAGGTCAACGTTATCGACCATTCGGGTAACCAAGTTGATGCTTCCGATGAGAAAATACTTTGCAGCGGGGGTCATGATCTTGTTAAGTGTTAGAAGTATCATGTAGAGAGGATAATAATTTCTTGCTCTCACAGTATGACTGATAGCTGCCCAAAAGAGTGCGCTCCGGTGCCGATGTCTGCTCTGATTCTCTACAGCGTGACTGGATATACTTTGCGAATTGCATATCGCCTTGTTGCTGAACACTTGAGCACTGCTGAACAAGCCATTGATATTTGTTCTCATCTAATTACAATCCTGGAATCGGGCCCGCAGGGTTCGTCAGAACACGGAGGTTACGAGCAACCATATTGCGGTTGAACTCAGCAGCATTCATTGCGAGCTCTGTGATGGAGGCAGATTCGCCGATGATCAAAGGCCCCCTTGACAGTCCAGACTGGTTCGTCCATTCTGCAGGAAGATTGGCTGTCCGCATTTGAAAAATAATAAGAGGTTCCGCAACAAAATGTTGAGGATACTGTCAGGTGCGCCGGAGGGGCACCGGGGGAGCACCGGCTACGTACCGGGGGAGCACCGGCTACGGAGTGGGTCAAAGCGGACTATTGTTAATCCACCCGCAAAACCATAAGAAGGCAGAGGCTGCGGAGGAAATCCTAGAGGAAGATAGGATCGAATGCTAGTCACAACCAATACCTACCAGTGCCTTGTCGACTCCTTCACTCTGCGCGAAGCCTCCTTGACAGATACGAAGCTATTTTTCCCAAAGGAAGAGGCTAGGGTATTCAGAAATGAGTATATCTTCTAGATGCATGTAAGAGTCGATTATAGATTATTGGAACATAGAACAACTTATGTATGATCCATTTCCCAGATCTTGCTGCCAGCCCCTAGTACATATCACACTATTTCCTATTTAATATTTCCACCCTTTTCCCCCTTTCCACCCTTTCCACCCTTTCCACCCTTTCCATCTTTTCCACCCTTTCCACCCTTTCCACCCTTTCCATCTTTTCCACCCTTTCTACCCTTTCCACCCTTTTCATCTCATTATTCAACTCCCTTTCATGTTGCTACAAGTTGATATATTTTGTAGAGTGCTTGAGGATTAAGGGAGATAATCTCTTTACTAAGAATCCGTTTTCAGCAGAATATGGATCATAATAGATGTGGCATCAACATGACGAAGCTTATGGTTGAGGTTAGATATGTGAAAAGAATTAGGAACAAGCTGTGCCAGTGTCCCTTGTGAAAGCTGGTCCTGTTAATGCGGCCGTCATGCATGACCAAGAGATGCGTGAAATGCGTTGGCAGCAAATCGCGATTCAACACGAGGAGCTTCCATTAGCTCTTGGCGTTCAATTGCCTGAACAGTGGAAGGGAATCCTGGTCGCTGTACAAAGAAGTGCTTGCAATTATTTATAAGAGAGCCGCGTTCATTTTCATACTGATGAAGTTGAGCCGCCTGGGAAGAGGAGCTGTCAGCTTAAATTCTATCAGACAGTGTACTCGGGCACAACTTCCAGCATGTCTAAGCAAGAAGACCAACCTCCAAACCCGCCTCAGCCTCCACCTCCTGAGACTCCACCATCGCCCTCGACCTCAACTACTTTCGACTCTGTCATGGAAGGCGCTTATAACGGGACAACTTAGTCCGGAGTTGAAGGTATGTAGCCCTCATAATGTGACTGCATGTTGTTGATGAACAAGAAATGAACTAAAAGACTTGCCACAGGAATTTCGGACCGTAATGTAGTAACAAGATGCCAAGAGATATGGATTCCATTATCAAGACTTTGGGGCTTCTAGTTTATGTTAATAATTTCGACATCGCGAACGATATTGCAAGTGTCAGACTGCCCCAGGACATTCGTTACGGTAATTGTTTCGCCTCAAGCGACCTGACTCATGCTTAACCAGAAGTATGAATAAGGCTAGCAAGGGTAACCTTATACAAGGGGGTCACACACTCATTATATAGATATGGGGTTTCTTCCCATAGCCATTCGTTCGTCGTACTCATCAATATACACTCAATGACCCCTGCCTGTCTAACTACGGCTCGATAGCAAGTATCTCAGCCTGGTGAAAGTGGGATGCCCTCGTGTCAGATAAGACTATCCAGATATAGATATGTCAGGCATTAGGATTGCATACCTAGAGTATGCATATAACCCATGTACCTCCGGATATTCCGATGTCGGATTCCAGAAAGAACACACCGACTTTTCTATCTATCATCATCATCATAATCATCATTATGGATTGATCAATATACACTCATTCAATTATCCTCCATGTTGACTGCCTCATACACACTATTGTGATACCTCGTCTTTGGATGATGGTCCGGATAAACGTTTGGACGCATCCGTGATCACATGTCTCTTGTAAAGGCAGATTAGGTGCTGGTTGGCTTGGGAGATGACTAATCAATCATGCCCCAAGTGTTTAATCCATGACTGGGTGGTCACAACTCTTGCGACCGACTCGTAAGTGATGTGTGATCAGGTTGACACATAACACTGGACGTTTACAATACTACTTAACCCAAATCCTTTCCTTCGTCACACATCTCCTCTCGTCCTGTTCTTTTCTAGCCATGGAACGATATCCCCCTTATAAAGGACTTGCCTCCATTCCTATTTCGGACAACGTTCAACGATTGATGCAAACGGCTGAGAATCTGCGTCTCGAGCCTGACGGCAAGCTAGGGCCTGAACAACTGACCCTTTTGCCGCACCCCAAAGTCACCCTTTTCGAGTTGCCTTGGTCGGAGACCAAAAAACTCATAGTTGATAGTTTCATGAAAGAAATGGTATGCTCACAGACCTTCGTCGTCAGGGATTTGGCGCTGATGTTGTGAAGAAGGAAGACCAGGGTTGGCAAAATACCATCCACTGGGCAGCTAAGGATCTCGTACTCGAGGCTGGCACACTCTCAACGCCTTGGGATTCAACAACCATAGTAATTCCTGCAGCGTTCCCAGGAAGTCCTACGGTAGGTTTCCACACAAAAGACAGGCCAGTCGCCAATGTGGAAAAGTGGCCAGCAAAAGGCACGGCATTCAGATTAGATGCTGGTGTTGGAATTCGAGCAGTCAATGGAAAGACACGTTTTTATGCCATCATGTTCAGAAATCCATTAATTACGAATAAATAAGAAATCATCAAATCCAGCTACTGTGGCGTTCTCGACGGCGTCGTCGAACCATCGCTCTGCGTCACCACCGGATAGCGAGAAGCAAGAAGCGAAGGGATCACCTTCTTGTGTGGCCATCTCATCAGGCTTTTGGCGCGTACAGTAATTTGCACTGGAACTTCTCGTGACCTGCTCTTCAACGGTACAGATGGTGCGGAGCCTTCCTAACGGTACTCTCATTACAGCGTCGGCTTCGGTCTCCAGAGCCATCTTCTCCGCAAGTATCTGCTCTCTAGGCAATGTCGGTGATTCTTTGTTTAGTTTAATAAACCTTTCTGCAATTCCATCAAGGTGCGTCGCTATCCCAGGATCGCTATGTGCAAAGTTGTTCAATCCAAGGTGCTTGCAGGTTTCCTCGTAACTTGTCACTTTAGCATAGCTAACGGCGAAACAAGAAAGGGATGCAAACCTTAGACACAGAGCCCAACTTAGCACTGCAGGACAGTGGAATATTCTGACCGTATCGTGGACGGAAGCCCAGTCCTCCGAATTCAAGCGAGTTACAACAGATGGAACAAACGCCGATATATGCTCCTTGGCCACCCGAGCGCTTGCTGAAGCTTCGGCACCTTGCACTATTCCATTGTTAGAATGTAAGCTAGACGTGGAATCACCGAACTCACTCTCAAGCGCTCTGTAGACCAGGAATGCATTTCCACGCTGTTCAGGGTACATTTGATTGACGACTTGGTGGATAGTTTCAGCTCCTCTATCCCTTCGTCTGACTTGATTCTCCTCGTCCAGGCTGCCGGTCTCTGTGTAGGTCGTGTCTAGCTTTCGTCGAATGATACGCGTACTGCTGGCCAGCATTTTGCTTACCCAAACCAGGCTATTCGCTGTCTCGTGTACTGCAAGCTCGCTTTGTTCAAGGACGTCTTGGATAGCCTGGCCCCGGGTTTGAAGGTCTCGGCATGCAGCAATCCGACCAAACGATCCCCATTGCAGGTCCGGATCCATTTGGGACAACAGTGATACTCCAGTCACAACAGCCCCATAGAACTGGGATATTGGACCTATAAGTTTTGCAGATGTCAAAGCTGCCTCCAGCTCTTTGCAGTGACTCTCGATCCAAGGCTTCGGCAATTGTTCAATCTTTTGTAAGAGGTTTTGCGACTTTATTTTCACAGTCTGACGACCGACCTTCCACGGAGTACGGACGCTTCCCTGTGTGATAATTTGTTTCCTAGACTTATCCTTCCTTCTCTGCTTTGATTTGGTCTTGAGCCTCAATGCTTCTTCGTAAAGATCGCTCGTCAATGCATGGATACCTTGCATCGCGGCAGCGAAGTGGTGATGGCCGTCATTGTTTCGGCTGTTGGTAATGTCGTTACTACTCTCAAGGCGTTCGTGTTGTACATCGGCCGAACAGTCAATAACTGTTGGGATTCCGTCTCGTGTTCGCCTAGGACAAACGTCAGGTGCCAGGAAAACACTGGACTTCTCGTTAATTACTTACTGCACTTTCAACCAGCTGCCAACACCTAGGTTGGCAGTGAAAATCTCATCCAGCTGGATGTTGAGGGCGGAGTCTGTGATAGTCTGTTGCTGCCGCTGACAGCACGAGGTTGCCCTCGTAGTACAGAGGAGAAATTCATTCTTGAATTTTTCAAGATGAACATGGACCGATTCAGAGTGTTGACCAAAACGAATTTGGAGATGAAATTCTGACTTGCCCGAAGGGAAATTCAACTCAGAACTTACTTTTGTCGACAGAGCCCTATGCACCATTGTACAGTACTGACATTGAAGGTGTGAAATCGAATGGATGCGGGGCTTACTTGATTGACGTCAAGTGTCTTTCGCAATACATACAGCGTGCAATCGACTACTTGCTGACAAAAACCCTTCTACTCTTTCAGCCTTTCAGCCTTTCAGCCTTTCCACTCATTCCACTCATTCCACTTATTCCGCCCTTTCTACCCTTTCCACCCTTTCCACCCTTTCCACCCTTTCCATCCTTTCCATCCTTTCCACTCTTTTCAGTTTCTACCCCTGTTGTCACGAAATCAATTCAATGACAACAGGGGTCGCCATCCACTTAGAAGCCACCAGCTACAACACCCTACATGGTGCTGTCTGTTAGTTTATTCTGGTTCATCCTGGGTCCATGTGAGTCTCAGCTTCCTAATCACAAACTTGAAGCTGTACCATATCTTTCAATCAGTTCTATCCTGCAGAATACCGAATTGGTTCGCATTCTTCGGGGGATTTTAGGGTTGCCTTAATCCGCTTCCTGAGAGACAAAATTGCTGTGAAGCGTGAACCCACTCTATACACCTTACCAAAGATACCTACATCACCAACACAAGTACCTCCAGTCTGTGGACCTCAAGCTCAAAGGTGAAGTCTCACTGTCTCTCCTGCAATTTACATAGATGCCTGAAACTAACCGACCATCTGCCAATCAGTAATCATGTGCGAATGGTACCAGAGTAACTACGCCTGTGGGCACCATCTAATCGGCGCTTCAGAGTGGTGTTATCAATACTCCCAGACACAAAAGCGCTGTAAGGTTGTAGTGGAACAGGTTTTTGATTTCTTGCATATCTGTAAAAGCTGTCAAAAGCAGCATGAGAAGGTCAAAGTGTCCTGGGAGCATATGATAGACCGGGGCAAGTGATAGGAGCAAGTGAATGATCACTGGCAGACAAATTTACAGCAGTCTTTAAGCAACCTTAACGCCTAGTTACCTGTGTATTTGAGTAGATTGTGCCTACAACCTAAAAGGCTTCCAAAGGGATTCCCTCACAGTCAGTCACATTCAGTCCCTTTCTTGTTCTCCCCTAATTACACCAATTTCACATGCTCTCTTTATACCACCACCGTTGCGTCAATGAGAATTGATATGCTGAATACCGTAGAGGGCCTGGCCACCTGCTATGTGCCTCCATCGAGAGAAGTCCCAAGCTGGTTATTCCCCAAGGACGACGAGAAGTACGGACGCCGCACACTATTTCATCGCCTCGATACAACGTACGACGACAAGTGTATCGAGTTCGCCGTTGACCCTGTACACCCATGGAGACAGCCCCGAAGTTCGACGCTACCTTCCTTACCCGCTGGTGTTTCCGCTCTTCCAAGATGCCCTCGATGATCACAACATGGCCATTGAGAAAGCAGTTTCAAAGTGGGCCCCGTCCGCGGTTCAGATGGTCTTACATCGAGGCGGGGAAATTTTAGCAAGATACTTTGCCTTCCGCGCTAAGCAAGTCCAACTTTACACCGAGATGCCTTTGAAGATACCAATTTCCCAGTTAGGATGAGCGGCTCTATGCTACGACGTGAAGGTGAAGAAGTCTGGAGTACACTGTTGAAATTAAACTGAAAGACAGCAGCACTCGGACAGTCTCGCAACGACAGCTTTGCTGAAGACTTTGTTGATCGGTTCCCACTCCTTCCTTAACGATAAGAATTACTTCGCTATGAAGAAGCTCAACTGCCAAATGCTTTTGAGCACATTGGAAGAGAGAGCAACCAAGGGGGGAGCACTGACTTCTTCGAGAGATGACGAGAGGGAAACTCAGTACGTTAGACTCGTGCGTTCACTATTCAACAAAATCAACGGCCGATCCATCCGAAACAAGGACGATATCGATAATTTGGACTTGAAATATACAGAGATTATGCAACTCTGCAGGGAGCTTGTGAGTGTACCAAGCAAGAATCCCCGATCCATAGATCAAGGCCGGGTCGACAGTATGAACGGCCTCAGGAGACATTGAGACATCATCAAAGCATGATGAGGTGTTCATCGAACTACTGCCAATGAAGGAATCGGTGAGACTCTCATACCGTGGCCAAAAACGATCATGAGCTGACTTATAGTGTTCAGAATGAGATTCTCAGCATATTGATTGCCTGCCTAAATCGACGTCAAAGTAAATCTGTTTACGAATTTATCACTCACGTGACCCCGCATCTATTGCCACACCAAAAGAGCGAGTTCAAGATGTTGTCAGCGTATCAAAACCCATGTTCGCAAAGGCGGCAGGTAAATTCTTGCGCTATATAATGGCCTTGCTGTCTACCACCGACTTTATTCGCAACTTCATATTCAACATTTCCCAGATTGAAGGTATCACAATTCACAATGTGTGGTTGGCTTCAACTCGAGTTTCTTTGTGACCATGGCAAGATCATACCTTTGGTCCTTTGCGGGCAGGCTCGGGAAAGCAACCTCGATCCTTACCAATGTGTCGGTAAGGAAATTCTGCACACGTTTGTTGACGGAAGTGTGTTCTGTTGCAAATTCTGCCCCACAACCGTTTCATACGAAAAGCCTGATCTGTGAGTTATACATCATACTTGACTTTCTATCAGAGCTAAATATTCTAGGTCGGAATACTTCCAACGCATGGATAATGGGCTACGGGCGATTTGGCCGCGAATCATACAACGTTAGTTATGACTCTCAATACTTCCCTTTGTACTGACTTGGGTTTTTGCAGATGAACAGGTCACAGCTTTTATAGCGACGCACAAAGGGATCATCGTCACCAGAGGAACGCCTAGGTATAAACCTTTAATGCCGAATATAAACTTGCAAGCATTACACATAGAGGTATGCCTCAGTCTATCATTGACGATATAGTTGTAGGCTGATAGGACGAAAGTAGGACCCAGGGTTGAATGCCCTTTTGCAACCGCATGGTGAAGAGTTTATCAAGTTCAGCTACAATTGGACACTTGCGTGCTCTCCAGGGTGGCACGAAGCGTACTTGGCAGACATCACGTGTCGGATCAACCTGGTACTAATTTGGGCCTGTTCTCGGCAAGTACCTACTCACGGGTTGAAGGAGTGGGCGATTTCAGAGAATGGAGCACTGCGCCTTTCAATAATCCAAGCCGCTATCTTGAAGTCCCAGTCTTGGCAGGAATTGGCGTATCTGATTATGGCTATGGATGGTTTTCATCGATTAATCCCATCAGAGAGCTCTGTCCGTTCTGCCTCCTCTGGCTTCCTACCTAATCTCTTCGACGAATTACTTGCCTCTAACTCTGCGACTGCTGGATCAAGAGGGATTTTGAGGCGTGTGAAGGCTTCTATGCAAAGAGCCATGCCAGCGAAAGAAGATGACCTGGTCGCGTCGAATTTCAGGCAACTCGAATTCCGCGTCCGAGTCGAGGATTCAGACCACTACATGGATGATTATTTTAGAGTGAGGATGAATAAGGGGAAGGAGGAGCCGGGCCCAGATCACGACGCAGCATTGAAGCATGTCCGAACTAGAAGTCGAGATAACGAGGGCCTTCACTCAAAGTCGGCCTGTTGTTTTTGCTCTTTAGAAGGGGGAGGAGATTAATCATAGACAGGTTATGATAGACCGGAGAAAATGACAGGAGCAAGTGGGTGATCACCGGCAGATCACTGGTAGACAAATGAACCAGCTGCGAGAAGTGCTTCTGGTGCGTCCCTCAATTACCTTGATCGCTCTAATACTGTACGCGTACAAGTATCTTTTGCGACCATGCGCTGATGCGTAGATGTCGGATTAGAAGTCCAATTCGACCTCGAGGCTGGGCAGCGCAGGGGTCAACTACGACCCCTGAATAGATTCCGACTGCCCACCCGACCTACGGTTGGAACCTCCCTTTTACATACTACGCAGAATCAGGCAATACAGAGAATTGACCATTCGTAACCCCCGAATCCATTGGTTCGACCCAATCACCTGTGATAGAGGTGATCCCAACAGTAGCTTTCCTCTAACAGAAGTGCCCGTCACAGCCACAAGTGTGATTCAACCATTGCCGTTTTCACCGCCCCTTGTAGTCTCTTTTTCCTGACACGAACTGACCGGGAGACGTTAATCACGCTCCCCTCGTGATGCCTGCGACCCATTAGTTTGGTTGCCTCGCGTAATACTACAACCATTGGTTATGCTGCTGGCCGGTAAGGCATCATTACGTGCGCCGTAGCCAATTCGAGCATATTGAAAGGTGTTCATCACTTAGCTCTGCAATTGAACCCAAGATAGGTCTAAGTAGAGGATGGATGAAAGATTGGACTAAAAGGGCAGGGAAGAGAATGAGAGGAGAGAACCAATGGAGAGGACGGAAGGGTTCGGGCCATGGGCGGTGCGGCTGAGGCAATTAACAACACACCTTTTGAGTCGCGTCACGGCCTCAGTATGACTGACTCGCCGAAGGTATTTGCCGGATATGTAGTCTATCCAGCAACTGCGAAATGGTAACGATACAAAGTAAGTACAAACTTAGTCTAATATCGAACGAGATGGTTGTTCAATTCCATTCCCGTAATGGGGACAATGACGCTGGCCTCCTGGGCCCATTATTGAGACCTATATAAAGCTCCGTGGACACTCAGACACGAGTGAGATGAACTTTCCCTTAACTTCTACATCGGACTTGCAGCGACCGTCAAATATGGGTGTGCCTGAGCCAGCACCCAGTGACACGACGATGGCTAATACGCCAGGGCCGGCGACCGACACGGCAGAACGGACAGCTCGGACGCCAGATGCAACACCTGACAGGCTCGAGGCTCCCAAGACAACAACCGATCTTCTGAAGGAAACGTTAACCGAAAAGCTGGAGATGAAAGACAGCGTGCAAAATCCGGTAGATCGCGAAAATCTGGAGGCAATCCTCAGATTTCTTACGCCAGAGCCAGACGTCAACAAGCCAGTCGACAGGCCAGAACCGGAGCGGGAAATAATGAACTCCAAAGTTCTCAACGCTATGCTATCGGTCTTCCAGGAAGAGTTGGAATTGCAGATGCCAGATCCGCTATCAGCAGCGAGCACACAAGAAGAAGCCATCGCTAAACAGCTGATTTCCACCGCGAACAAGCTGGCAATTTGCTGGATGAGAGTTCCCAACCGAACATGCGATGCATCCCCAACGTTCATAAGAACCTGTGATCAAGAACCGGAAGAACTCGAAGCCCTTCAACAGAACTCATTCGAGCACTGCTTCCCGCGAGGGCCAGAACAGCGAATTCTCACTCCTGATCTTGGGGCCATTACTCAAAACATGATTTCCTTTACGACAGATCGGTTCATTCGAGCAGACCCTGGTCACCGCCCTTCCGTTAAATTCGAACAAGTCTATACTCTACGCCTTCTTGAGCCTTGCTTGAGACACGAAATGACGGACTTGGCAATCGACTTTATGGCACTCGGGGAAAAATGCGAAACAAACTTCTCATGGCGATCTGAATGCAAGAAGTCAATGATAACGATCAGCAAAAAAGACGGAACATGGATAATGATAGAGCACAGGGGGAAATCTGGCTACTATTTCGCGTTTCTTCATCGTGAAAGCGCTGATGAAGGATGGACGACAAACTGGGCGCAGGATATTTCTTTGAAAATTTGAGCACGTCTTTTCTTAGTCTATAGGAAGCTATTTCTGTCTTTGGTTAATTTTGTCACTGGATTGGATTGGGTTGAGGTCTCAACGCCAACGACCCAAGAGGATGTACACTATAGGCTAACTCAACGCTGGCAAGCCACAATATTGAAGTAAATGTCAGAATTTGCATGCGAACTCACAACCCTCTCACCCAACTTCTTTCGGTTCTGGGTGCCTCATCGAGAGCCAGTCATATCATGACCAGCGGTGCCCACAAGTCAATCTCAACAATCGGTTTAATCAATCAACAAATCAATCCGGTGCTATCTACAGGCTCAATCAATCAATCTCACGGAGCGTCAAGATTGACTCCCGGATTGATTGAATTAAAACAGTCACGTGCTAAGTCATATGATACCTGGTAAATCAGAGGCCGTAGAAAGGTGGGATAGGAATAATGTTGTTCAGTTTACTCGTGCAGACTTGCGACTGCGGATAAATGTCTGCCCAGTGCTGGACCTATGCTACTAATATACGGTCTATACTGGGCTTATTACTAGGCTTAATGAAGATGTTTGGCGCTACTAGCTCTCCTCAGCCCGGCGCCAATTGACGATGCCATCGCGACGGGCTTTTTTATCCACACGCGTTGCCTAGCGCCTATCCCTTTCATTATTACGGAATGCCACCACCATATTAACTACCACCTTTACTCATCGCCCCAAATAGATCCTACGGTTGGAAAACGGCAAGTCCTATCTGAATCGACTGACTGGATCGATATGACTTAGGGTTAGGGTTAGGGTTAGGGTTAGGGTTAGGGTTAGGGTTAGGGTTAGGGTTAGGGTTAGGGTTAGGGTTAGGGTTTATCTCTTCTTTTTTCTTTTTTTTTTTTTTTTTTTTT